GTGCTTCCCGACGGTGAGGAAGACCAATCAGAATAACAGATAAAAGAAGGAAACAATTACAGTCCTGATGAGCCTCGTTTCTGCCCTTCTTAACCCTCTAAAGTGGTCCTAAGTGCATTTTCTGCTGGGTATTTACACAAATACTTTAACTTTACAAGCTCCTTACTCCATTTTCTCACAGTATTGTTTCAAAACAATTTCCAAACACCAGAGTCCTGGTGTTATATAAAGAATTTAGGGCTGGATAAAACTGGTGCTCAGATCTATACAATAAAATCAACAAAAATCTGTCAAACAGCCAATAATTGTTACATCATCTCTGCTTCCTTCCCACTCAAGTTCACCTCCTTTCTTATAAACACATGGTTTTTACTTACATTTCTCACAATTTCTCAAACATTTCAGAGGCTGTTTTAACACAGATGTGGTCAATCTAACACTGAGTCCTATATTATCATGTCTCTCCTCCTCTGATTGGTCCACAGGATGCAGTGGGATTGTGCTGTTAAAAAATAAAGCTATTAAAGAACTATCATAACTAGTCTTACTATCAGAGCTTTTTATTCTCTGGTCCGTTTTTCTTGTATTTGGACAAAAATGACCCCTTTTTTGTGTAGCAGATGCCTTAAAGCGCCCATTTGTGTGTCTGTGTGCGTCAGGGCGTGTGACCAACATCCCCGTTGGCATGGTAACGGACCAGTTTGGGATGATCGGCTTGCTGACGTTCATCCGGGCGGCGGAGACGGACCCCGGCATGGTCCACCTGGCGTTGGGATCTGACCTCACAACACTCGGCCTCAACCTGAACTCACCAGAGTAAGATGGCTGCCCACCCAGCCTTCATCTTTTCCACAAAACGCCAATCAAATACAGACAGTTTATGAGTGGAGAACAGTTAAAGACAGTCCTCTGGCCTCACCTGGGACCCGGTTACAGGATGGTTATGGGTAGATGACATCATAGGTTATGTAGAAAAAAAAAACAAGGAGATTAAATGTCTTCCTAAGTTGAAAAGTCAAAGGAAAATGCAGTTAAGATCAGTTTTGTTTCATGGGAATGTCTGATTTGCAAACAGCGAAAGTTTTTTTTACTGTTGAATCTGCTTTAAAATATCAAAACCTGAGAATAAGAACAGAAACATGGTTCATTTTGTGTCTTTTTTAGGAATCTTTATCCTAAGTTTGCGTCTCCCTGGGCGTCGGCTCCATGTCGGCCGCAGGACATCGGTGAGTTTATTTGTAAATGTTGACCATCTTTGGTTTTAGAACGCCTAAATTAAACCCAAACGCCACTATAATGTTATTGTCTGCTATGAATTACACGTTTATTTACATGATACCCGTCACTGTTTGTGTCTGTTATGGAGCTCTTCTGCCCCCTTGTGGCCAAAGCTCCACACTGCAGTTATAAGCATTTACTTTGGTCTCAGCTACGTTTTCCTTCTTTTTCAGACTTCCACGTTCCCTCAGAGTATTTAACCAACATCCACATAAGGGACAAGGTACGAATGACAAATACAGATTCACATATTGATCTGTTATTGACTTAATTCAGTGTTTAAATAAGATTGTAGCTTGTCATTGTGTTGGACCGAGTCGTTCTGAAAACTTCCCTGTTTGTGGTCATAATTTTGATTTTGATTAGAAGAAGAAGACTTTATTGATCTCACCAATGGAGAAATTCATGGAGATTAACCTGACTTCATTCTTTTATGTTTACAGTTAGCAGCTATCAAGTTATCTCGATACGGGGAAGATCTGCTGTTTTATCTTTACTATATGAACGGAGGAGACCTACTACAACTACTGGCTGCAGTAGAGCTGTAAGACAGACATAATTCACCCCCTCATATTCTTATTTTTATTCCCTCTCCGGCCCGTTTAACCAGGCTTTTTAGCTTTCAGGGCTTTCAGAAGCGAACTTGTCTGTGTGTCTCCAGCTTTAACAGGGACTGGAGGTACCATAAAGAGGAGCGGGTTTGGATCACCCGGGCTCCGGGGATGGAGCCCACGCTGAAGACCAACGCCTACGAAAGAGGGACCTACTACTTCTTCGATTGTCTCAACTGGAGGAAGGTGGCGAAGGTGAGAACACACACTTGTGTTGCTCTTATTGGATCAGATCCGAATGAAGCCCTCAGAGGAATGAGGAAAGCCTAATGTGGTTTGTTTAGCCTGGGGGTCGGCAACCAAGTGGAAAAAGATGGGGGAAGGAAATATAGTTTTGTGATGAGTCGTGTGATCGATACTGAAATTTGTAGCCAAAGTAGTCATTTTGATGGTTTTGTAATAAAGCTCATATAGATACATACAGCAGGTGTTCCCTTCATTATAAGGCTTTTCATTATTTTATTTTTTTTTGGTCGAATATGGCTCTTTCACATTTTGGGTTGCTGACCCCTGGTTTAGCCCAAAGTTAGTTTCCATTCTCAAAAAAAGATGTTGTGATTTACTGAAACCGACTTAAATCTTTGACCTCCTTTCTCTTAAATCCATCCCAGAGTTTACCCGGTTTTATGGATTTAATGAAACTCGTGTGGAAGCTTCATTCCTTTGATCTTTCTTAGGGCAACACATTTTTAAAAAAAGGGGGAAACTATCTCTCTTCGTATTAGCCAAACTGATTTAGCGGCTTTATTTTCCTGCCTCGTTTTCAGGAGTTTCATCTGGAATACGACAAACTAGAAGAACGACCTCATGTTCCCTCCACCTTCAACTACAATCCTGCCCAGCAGGCCTTCTGATTGGCTCCCCTCCTGCTGCCTGCCGGCCATTGGCCCTCCTGGCTCACCGGTCATCGCCCCTCTAGGTTTTTCCACCTCAGCACACTCAAACGAATCTGGCCTGTAAGGACTCGGGACAGGAGAGGACGACCTCGCTCCTGTCCACATCTGTGATAGACTTTCTCATTTTAACTTTTTCTGATTTACGTTTGCTCCTTACCTCATTTCCCTTTTTGTTATTTTATTCCCACTTCTCCTCCATGGGTTACACTCAGAGGCCGGCACTGTAAATAACTGTCCATCTGATGGAGGGATTCTTGTTTCTACTCAGTCTTAAGATTTGAATATTTTTGTCTAGAGGAGCTTTTAAGATGAACCAGATTTTAACACAGGATTTGATCCCTGATTTCGATGGATAGTTATTTCTCCCTGCATCACACCACTCTGACTTTTGGCAAAAAATTGAAAATATCTCTCGTTTTTACCAGGATTTTCCAGCATTTCGCATCCGCACACACATCATCAGACAGCAGACATTCAGGAGAAAAAATGCAATGTACATTGTAGCACTATTTCATAATAAAAAAGAAAAAATATATATATTTTTTTGGTTTGTTGAAGTTAAGTGGAGAAGTCGACCCAGAAAAGTGGTATTTTTATTTGAACGTGTTTGGACATCCTGTGTTTCACATTACAGTCTTTCCCCAAGTTGCACCTAGTTGCATCGTTTGGATTAAAAACATGGCTTTTGCCTTTTTTATGTCTTTTCTACTGTCAACAAATAACATTTTTCTGCCCCAAACCAAACGGTGTATTTATACATCCTTTAAAGCATTGACTTCCCCATCATTTAGTTCTTATTCAAGGCACCAAATCATTTTTTAATGGCTTTATAATGTCGTAAAACAGCTTTTCCTGTTGTTTGTAATCAACCAGGAATCAGGAGCAGATTGGTAAACATTGACCAGTGATATAAAAAGTCAAACGGACTAAATAGGTATTAATAGAGACAAATAGAAATGGAAACAAATGTCCCTCTGTAGGTGTAAAACTCGCTCTGCCTGAAGAGAGAAGGCAGACCAAACAGAACCAACAAAAACAGCCGGCTGCTTTCAGCTTTACCTTCACTTTTTGGTTTGTTTGTTGACAATGAAAAGACTCATAACACCACATGAATCTGTAATTACATCCAACATTAGCAGCACTTTTTCAGGGCCACGGAAAGACCGTCAGACTTATTTCTGTCTCCCTCGTCATGCTAAATCTCAAACACCAGCACAGCTTCATCAGACTTCCTCTCAGTTTCCATCCACTGCTTTTTCGTTTCTGCTTTCCATCATTTTCCCAATGTTACAGCTTCTTCTAGCTACACCTCCTATTATTTGAATCCCAAACATAATTCTCTTTCATTTATTTGATTTGTTTTTATATCATTTTCCTTCTGGTGACAGTCAGATCCACTCCGATCTTTGTTGTTCTTGCTGAGAATGAGAAGTTCATGCTAACGGCCAGAGGCCTGCTAGCCTAGCTTATCGTGAAAAAAGGGGAAAGTGTTAGCCTGGTTCTGTCCAGAGGGGGCGAACTGATCCCTCTGCAGCTGGAAAGGTCGCTCACTTCTGAACGTACATGTCCTGTAATCTTTTTTTACACTTTCAAACAGCTTGAAAAAGCTAAAAATGCCTTAATTGGATGGATTCACAATATAAAGAGCCCGAGAGCTGGTTTTCCCATGTTCCAGTCCTCATGCAAAGCTAGGCTAGCTGGGATTTTATGGCCAGAAATAAAAGTATTAATGATCCAACTCTCAGCAAGAAAACAAAATATGTTCCCTGAGGTAAAACAAAACCTTTCTTTTCCCGTTTTTACTTCACAAAAACTCAAAATCCACCAAAAAGCCTTTACTGAAAGGCTTCCGTGTTGATTCCCGTCATTTTAAAGTCCTTCCAGGAGGTTCCAGGGTGCTCCAGCGCGATTTTAAAGCAGGAATTTCCGAAATAGTTCAAACCAAACGACACTGATTCACTCGACCGAGGAGACTTTCCCTCCTCTGCTGTCCGCCAGCGTAATTCGATTTCCTGAGACCACCAAAACCCCCGAGGCGCTTCACATGGGACCACGCTCGACGACGCCTGCCTGCCGTGGCAGCAGCATCCGTCGCCACGACAACCGGGCCCAGCAACAAGCCAAGGACACGCCCACAGACCCATGTGACCCGTCTAAGAAGACTTGTTTGGAGGAGGAGGACTGAGGCACTTGGCCGTTGGCTGTTTTATTAAATATGGCAGCTAGTGTTTTAATAGGAAAAAGAATAAAATAAATATTCTGGTAATGAAACTAAGCAACAAGTCCCGAGTGGTTATTGGTTGTTTGGTGGTTTTGTGTGTTTGTGAAATGTCTTGTCTTGCAGGACTGGAAACGCTTCGGCTTCCTGTTTTGGGAAAGATTCTTACACTGATGTCATCTTTAAAAATATAGTTGATATCCATTTTTGGAAGGGTAGGTATACTATGTGTACATAATATTGTCATTTACATGTGTAAAAAGCTACAGAATTGAAATGTCACATTCAAGATTTTTTTAAGAATGCAAAAGAACTGTTTTAGTTGTGAAACAACCCTTAAAAAAAAGTGTTGGACACCAATGAAAGCTGTAAATGGTGGAAATAACCAGCAGACGCTAATTAAACTACTCTGTACCTCCACTGCTAGCTTACAGCCACCTGCTAAACCATTTCCCACTGGAACCAAGAGATAAATACATTTAAATGTATCTCTATATAGATTTGGAGGCTTTTTTGGGTCTACCTGGTCTATCTTTCATTATTTTTAAAGGTATTTTGATCAATGTTTCTGCCATGGATATAAATTAGACCTCAGAAAATGTCCTCAGACTGTTTGGAAAAAGACCTGAAGGAGTCTAATATGCCTGATTTAAATTAGTTTGCTTTTCTTTGACTGATCTAAAGTGTTTTTTTTTTTTTATGGTAGAAAACCTGTCACTCCTCAGATTTTCTACAGAAAATATATGAACCAGATTAGATCTGTTTGACCTTTCTGGAACAAATCTGTGACTAATTACATCTTTATTTGACATCTTTTATATTACATCTTTATTAATTTCACAGTGGAGGATCAACATGAAACAGTCCTCGGCTGTGTGTGATTTCCAGTTTTCAGGCAGGAAGATGCTGAAATATGAATATGAAAAATCATCAAACCAGCCACAGTTTGTTGTTTCTCTGATCTTTTATTGGTAAAAATCTAACTTGATTCAATCGTTTTTACACCTGCTCTTTCTTCCTTCTCAGACTGTTATCTTTTAATCCAGCTCTTTTGAATTATTCCAGCTGTCATCTATAGTTTTAGATTTAAAATCAGCCCTCTGAACTGATGATGTTCCTTTCATGTGTTTCCGTTTTTGTCCATCGGAGGGCGCCATGATCCAAAGGACGCCTTTGCCTGAAGGAACTGTTGTTATTGGCTGTAATCCATCTATAAACCTGTAAGATCTCCTTCAGATTGTCTGGTCTCAGATATGTTTTCAGGATTACTTCTGGAATAAACAAATTCACTGTCTTTCCAGCAGCTGAATGAATGAAATGGAGAAAATGAAGCTCAGAGGAAGCTCAGACCTGGAGGACAAACGCCTTTAAAGGAGGTAAACAAACACAATAAACTCAGATTAATGAAGGAGGGGATGGAGATCAAAACCTGAGAAGATACTTCCAAACTAACCAGGCCTCTTCTGAGTCTTTCAGTGTGAAACCAGTGGCTCAAAATTGAGTTTTTCCTTTCTGTTTTGTTCCTCGTGTGGGGAGGAGAACGTATCCAGGACTCTGTTACATGACTGTTGTTCAGGCAACTATTCAAAGTAATCTAAAAAAGCAGCAGAGTGTGAAAGTGAGGGGGCGAATGTGGGAATTTAAAACCTCACTATCTGCTAATTAGCTCGTTTCTTTTATTAAAGCAGCAAAGCAATCGAAGCCACAAAATGCCACCAAACTCTTTTTCTCTTTTCTGTTTTTAGAGGAGAGAAACGTTACCTTGGATTGAGGTCATGACTCGATGTTTATTGTGGATCTGGAGAGGCAGAAATCCACTTTTATATGCAGATGGGGGAGTTTTTGCTCCTTTTCCTGGATTTGGTCTTTGTTTATGGCCTTTATTGAAAGCTTTTAGTTTTAGTTTCTCCATGTTTGTGAACCCTGTCATCAGTCATCTGCAGAAGCTGGTTGATGAGTCTTTAAAGGTGTCTTTGTTTATAGCAATTATGGGTAGTTGAATACAATATTTAGAGGGTTCAGAAATATTGAGCTCTTACAGACGTTGTTCTGAGAGAGCTGCAATTTCCACAGGAGAAGCAAAAATGTTTTTTCTTTGGTTTTTATCTGCATAATCCACAGTATTTCCAGTTAAAATGAATCTGAACAGCTCAGAAAGACAGAAAACAGATTAATTTGACCACTAAGTACAACTTTGTTTGGATTTCTTCCCTCCAGGGAGGTAAGAAAAGTCATTCTGCACAAAGATAAACAGATATTTCAAGCTTGAAATACCTTGAAATCTGGGAAAGGCTTTAAAATATTCAGTTTTCATGCTGCCCAGGTGATGAATAGGGTTTTCTATTTGTAATTCTCCATAGTCTCTGCACCCAGTTTATCACGATCACACAAGCATGTCGTTAATCATGCAGATAAACTCGACAACTTAAAGAGAAATCTGGGAAAGAAAGGGAGCAAACCAGTCCAATCTCTCTGGTTTTAAACTGGTTGAATGTTAAAAATGTTTAAATATCTCCAACAACGACTTCCTTTCAGATGGTTTAAAACTAAAAAAGCCAGACTTTCTTTGATCTGAGCAAAAGGACTCTAGGATTTTTTTCTTATTTTCAGTCCAGTTCTTTATCATCCAGGCAGGAAAAAGGCCCCTAACTCAAGGGATGAGCCAGCATCTGCAGCTTAAACTGGAGACTCACAAGGAAAAAAGCATAAATACGAGTTAAACAGTCTTCATCCACCTTTCATTTCTTTCTGTTTTCCCTCAAAGCAGCCAGACGTCATTTAAAGTTCTTTAGTGACTGATCCAGGATTGATGAGCTCTTTCAGGGTTTTTGTGTGGACTTTTTCTACTTTTTAACTCATTTTCTGTCCAGTTTTCTTCTTTGTTAAGTAAAAAAAAACTCAAACTAACTCAATGGATGAGCCAGTATCTGCAGTTTAAAGTTGATCTTCAGGCTCTAAGACAAATCATTGGTTCCATTTCTGGAGCTGATGGAGGAAAAAGGCCCAAAAAAACAGTCTGACAGACAGGTAACAGGATTTCTGAGCTCTTTGGAGGATTTTTATAGGACATTTTCTACTTTTTCACTCATTTTCTGTCCAGTTTTCATCTTTGTTGAGTCAGAAAAAGGCCCCTAACTCAAGGGATGAGCCAGTATCTGCAGTTTAAAGTGGATCTTTAGGATCTAAGACCTAAGATCTAAACATTGTAAATGTTTTTTATAAATGGCCTGTTTTCAGCTAGAGACAAGTGTTTCTTCCTGGTTGTGTTCAGAACAGATTCGGTACCCTGATGCTTTTATGGTTTTATAAAGAATATATAAAGGTTTTATTTGTTTAAAGGGAAAAGATGATACAACAAAACTCACCGATAACACAAACTAAAGGACAGTGTGTGTTCAAAGAAGCTGGGACGCCTTTGACAGTTTAATAAGCGCCTTGTATTCAGCATGAGACATAACAAATTGTCAAAACCTGCAGACTACAGCTCTGAGAGGCGGCTGTCGCCTCCATAATGACAGATTTTCCAGACTGGGGGAGTTTTTCCCGGCTAATCGCATCATTTTTTGGCCTTTTTTTTGCTTCCTGAAAGTCCAGCTCTCATCCACCCTCCACTCTCCTCCATTTTTATCTATTTTTTTTACCCTGGGATCCTTTTTTTCCCTCTGATGGGAGATATTTGCTGTGTGGTGGCCGTGTTCTTTCGCTCTGATGTGCGTTATCATTTGTAATCTTTTGATCTGCAGAGATGATGATAATCCTGCCACATGCCTCCCTGATCACTAGTGCTAGAGCTGGGCCTTTGCTCTGGAGCCGGTCAGTGTTTCTCATTTATGCAACAGGCTGAGGCAGACAGGCTAGCATCACCTGGAAGGTTTAGCTGGTTGTGTCACTTATTTTCTGTTGTTTTGCTGATTCTTCCACTAATATTTGGTTGTTTTGTTGCTTTTTCTATTTAGTTTTCGTTGTTTTGCTGTTTTTTCCACTAATTTATGGTTATTTTTCTGCTTTTTCTACTTATTTTTTGGTTGTTTAGCTGCTTCTTCGACTTGTTTTGCATTATTTTGCTGCTTCTTCCACTAATTTTTGGTTGTTTTTCTGCATTTTCTACTTATTTTTTGTTATTTTGCTGCTTATTCCACCTATTTTTTGGTTGTTTTGCTGTTTCTCCAACTTATTTTGCTTCTTCTACCACTAATTGTTGGTTGTTCTTCTGCTTCTTCCATTTATTTTTCATTTTTTTTGCTGCTTCTTCCACTAATTGCTGGTTGTTTTTCTGCTTCTTTTACTTATTTTTGGTAGTTTAGCTGCTAACTACCATTAACCCCCCAGGTGACCTCAATAGCCCCCAGCAGGAGGGACCAGAGCCCCCTTTGGTTTCCCCCTAACTCTTCACTTCCACCTCCAGTACATTAACTCAGAGCTCCTCCATCATTAGAGCTGAAGAAGCTTCTGGATCAGAGGACAAACTTCACCTCCATCTGGATAACTGGACTCTCAAAGCTGGACTATGACCGGGAAGACTGAGGACCTTCACAGGTACCTTTAGGAGTATTAGGAGTTTCTGCTCTCCAAAGTTGAATTATCTTAATTTTCCTGGTGTTCATTGGCCTTTCCTCAAGCTCCTAAAAAGAAGAAAACCTGGACGACAGACAACCAACACTCACATCTCATTTAGCTCCACATCAGAGTGATTTTATAGAGTTGTGAGCCTCAAAAAGGGCTAGAAAAGTCCATAGATCCAGACCCTGCTTTGTGGCAGTTGTTGACAGAGTTGTCGAGGTTTTCATCACATTTCCCCTCAGCCTCTGCTGTTGTCTCAGCTCTGTCTGGAGGCTCAGTTTATTGTTTTTACACCCTCCAGACTCCTCTCTGCCCACTGAAAGGAACAGAAATCAATACACCTCGGCCGGTTTATTGATCGTTTGGTACTTGGAGACAGTTTTGGGAGGCTGGTTGCATCTTTACCAGCAATCGAACGGCACTCTGAGGAGATGAAAGGAAAGTGGGGACAAATTGTGTCATCACATCCACGTTTTCCCCTTAAATCTCCTAATTTTAGCCTCATTCTTAAAATGTTTGAGGGATTAGGGCTCTGAGAGCTTTTCTTTGAAAGCTTTAAATGCGTCATCACCTGTAGAGGGAAGAAACATTACCTTAATAAAGCTGAGCACCTGATTGGCTCACAGGGGGGTTTAACCCTATAAAGCCAAATGTGTCATATCTGATCCGGTTTCTTTTGGATCTGAGACTTTCTGCATCATTCAGTGGTAAAAGCTTTGCTCAAACCCCTGTTGTACACATTCAGATATACCTGATAACAGCCAGTAGAAGACTACACCAACATAGATTTCTGACTTATTGCACGCTAATTTGATCAAAATAATTTCAGTTTTTTTTCCTCATATGTTATTGAGGGGCCAAAGAAAGACTTCAGACCCAAAAAATCCAATATTCTTCCTATTTTTCTTGGATCAGGCTTTAAAGGGTTAAAGAAACCTAAAAAAGTCAGACCCTTTTTACCAGTTCAGCTGATGAAAGTTGCTGTTAAGAGTCCATGATGCTCCTTTTCTTTTCTCCATATCTTCCATCCAACATCTGGTTGAAATACCTAAAGTTTAAATCCAGAAACATTCAAAAGCAACAGCACGTTTTGACCCGTTTTGGTCAGTTTCATGCTAACCAGGTGTCCATGGGAGAGGATCTCTGGACGTGGCTGACGTGTCCTCTGGTCCCTAAGAGGCTTATCTCCTCCAGCTTGTAACAGAATGAAACTCAAATCTGGATTGGATCGGGTCTCTGGAGAAGCCGAGGATCAGTCAGCCTCAGCACAGAGGTTTTTCTCACATAGGCCTCCCTCTTAGCACTGAGAACTAAAGATATTTAAAGATATTTCCTCTTCTTAGAGGGGAATGACGCAGTGGGAGCTGGTTCCAGTCCAAATGTTTGATAGTAATGATAATGATAGCAGTAATAGGACTATGAACGGTGTGAGGATCCTGTTCTTTGACTTCTCTAGAGCTTATCTTTATCTTTTTATTTTTTGGGGGAAAACTCTCTAAAGTACAGGTGGATGCCATCCTCCACTTGGTGAGTCAAAGAAAGGAGACACAGAGGAGGACCATTGTTGGTTGTTTATCTGCTTCTTTCACAGATTTTTCGTTGTTTTTCTGCTTTTTCTACTTATTTTTCATTGTTTTGTGATTTTTCTACTTATTTTTCATCGTTTTGCTGGCTTTTCTACTTATTTTTCGTTGTTTTGCTGCTTTTTTTTAAACCAACTTTTGGTTGTTTTTCGGCTTGTTTCACTTATTTTACATAATTTTACTGCTTCTTTTACTTATTTTTGGTTGTTTTTTTGCTTTTTTAAACTTATTTTTCAGCTGTTTATTCTTATTATTTTTCATGGTTTTACTGCTTATTTTACTTATTTTTAATTGTTTAGCTGCTTCTTTCACTTATTTTTTATTGTTTTGCTGCTTCTTTTACTTATTTTTGTTTGTTTTTCTGCTTTTTTAAGCTTATTTTTCAGTGTTTAGCTGTTTTTTTTCTTATTATTATTTTTCATTGTTTTGCAGCTTCTTTTACTTATTTTTGGTCATTTAGCTGCTAACCACCATGAACCCCCCCAGGTGACCTCCATAGCCCCCAGCAGGACGGACCAGAGCCCCCTTTGGTTTGCCCCTAACTCTTTACTTCCACCTACAGTATATTAACTCAGAGCTCCACCTCAGAAAGCAGTCTTGTCTTATAAACCGTCTTCTCTGCATATACTTTCTCTGCATATACTTTCTCTGCGTATACTTTCTCTGCGTATACTTTCTTGCACCAACTCACATGGTTCAGGAAGTGGGTCGTTTTCAGGCTTCTGCAGAACTTGATGACAACTCGACCCCATTTACTGAAGCAGCTGCTGTTGGAGCGAGAAACCGAGTGCAGATTTAGAAATATGTTTCAGTTTTTTATGTATTCTGCTCACTGGATTACATCAATCCAACCTCAAACTGTCAAATTTGTCCTCACAAAGTCCCAATAATTTCCTTTGAAGTGCACTGTTGACTGTGCTCGTCTAATTTACATATTGAGTCTTTCAGTCAACATTTAGAAATAACACTTTACTCCTTACCAGCACATCTTTGCACCCAGTTTCATATTAAAGGTGAAAAATAACCGAAAACATGTAAAAAAGCAGCCATTAACTTGTTAATTTACACATGAAAAAACTGAAAAAAAGACACAAAACTGCCAGAAGTGACAGAAAAAAAGCTGTAAAAACTTTCTCTTGCCGGAGAAACGGTGGGGATGGGAGGGGAGAGGGGCAGGATGTGGAAAGCCGAGGACGGACTGATGCCAGAGGGATGGGGGTGTGGAGAGAGAGGGAGGATGGAGGGATGAGGGAGGGAGGGAGGGAGGGAGGGAGGCGGGCGCGTGAGGGAGATGAACGGGAGTCAGACACAGAGAGCAGTCGTGATTAAACTCAACAGTTTGACAGCAGCAGAAGGCTTTCACTTGCAGCCCCTCCTCCTCCTCCTCCTCCATCCCTCCTCCTCCATCCCTCCATCCCTCCTCCATGCCTCCGGAGGGTGCGCGCGGCGGCCATGGCGAAGATGCGCGTGTCCTACGAGTACTCGGAGGCCGAGGACAAGAGCATCCGGCTGGGCTTGTTCCTGATCGCCTGCGGGATCCTCAGCCTCTTCATCCTGGGCTTCTGCTGGCTCAGCCCCACGCTGCAGAGCCTCCAGAGCAAACCGGCCAACTGCACGGTGAGCGCGAGCCCCCGCCGCGGCCGCGCGCACAGCCGCCGCTTCTCAACTTTTACGGTTTTTATTTTCTCATAGCGCTCATTGCACTGTGAGTTGTTGCGTTGTTTTAGCTCGTTTGCAGAAGCCTTCCTAAAAAAGAAAGTCGTCTGAACGCGTCAGGATCGATACGATTAGTTATTTGATCCGTTTTTTAACTGAACGATTTAGTGCTAAATTCGTTTTAATTTAACTTTTGCCGCAGAAAAAATAGTTAAGTAGAGTTTGAAGCAGGATCTTAGAACGCTAAGTCTCTTAATCAGAAATTTCAATGACTTATTCTCTCTAAAAACTATCAAAACAACATTAAATAAACATTAAAGAGCAGCTAATTTAAGACAGCTAAACAACATGGTTTTATTTGCAGGGATCCCCAGTCTAATTGGTTTTTACTTTAGAAAGAATTGTGATGGTTGGTTGAAGACAAGTAAAGATGATTTCTTCTGCTCAGCTACACTCAAAACTGTTTTTAATAGAGCACAATTCTGCAAGAAATGCAATTATAGTTTCTCTGTTTCGTAGTTTTTAGCATTTTTAGGTTCCAAATGTGTAATCTTTGGATTTAATGGGTTAAAACATAAGGAAGTAGTTGAGGACACAGTTATTTGGCATTTTATTGACTCACTGATGACTAAGTTTGAGGAGAATTGACGGATTATTCACTAACAAAATGAGGTTTTAGCTTTAAAACACAGAGATAAGCAGAGTCATGTCCAAATTATTTGTGCAAACACACCTGTGTAACTGTAATGATTAATACAATTTGAACTCATTCTCTAAAAATAGATGGATTTGAACCTGGTAATCTGAGCATAATGAGGAAAGATGACGTTGAAATTGACTAAACTGGATTTCGAAGTTAGATTGAGATGTATTGGTTTAGAAATAGTCACATTTATATTCCTTTTATGACTTTGGAACAATTTTTTAACCCTCAAGTTGTAGCATTAGCATCAATAATCATCTGTAATATCAGTATGTATTTACATTGTTTACACAGTGACTTCTCTATAGATTATAATGTTAAATGAATTTGAGATGCCTCTAACTTGGTTCCTCATCTTGAATAGTGTAGGTGGTGTTTTCTGGCCAGGCAAAGTAAAACCCTGGAGTTTTGCTTTAAACTACAGATTTGTTTAGCTAATTATTTATCTTTGCCTGTGAACTTTCCGATGATATATATATAATTAGGGGGTCCTTGGCCTGGAAAACCTTGAAGACCCCTGTTTTTATTTATTTTTTGTTGTTGTTTAGAATAATCTCTGTTAAAACTCCCAGTGGAATATTAGTGGAAGCAGCTTTCTTGTTGTTCTTGTTCTCAGTCGGCAGCATTAAAGGTGATCTTTAGTTTGGACAGAAATCCAAACATGAGTTATATTAATGTTTGTGGTTGTCGATACAAAGCGGATTTGTCCACCTTAAGTTTGTCCGGTCTCCTCCTGCTTTCCACCGTGGAGCATTTAAACTGTGTGTGCAGCATTTTCCAGCCTCTGCGAGTTTCCCTGTGATGAATGATGAACACCAGCCTGATTTATGGGGCTTAATTTAGCTTATTGCATCATCCTGGGTGAATGTCCTAAAGTGATTTTGCCTGTTTGTTTTCAATCTGTTCTCCAGAGCCTTGTCAATGAGATCAGAGAAACTTTTTCATGGCCGAATTCAACTTACCGTAATCTGCAATCATTTGCTCTGTTGCAGCTTTCTAAACTCTTTTGGGGTTATGTTTGATGGCTCATCTCTTGGGTTTCCTTCTATCCTCATTTAAGGTTCACACATGCTAATCTACAGTTGATGTTTCCAGGCAAGTTCTGACAACATTTTAGGAGCAGAATGTCCATTTTTCACTGGTTTATTCTTGTTTCCAAACCCAGAATTGCTCTGTTACTGTTTAAATCTGCAGCCATCAGCTCCATTTTAAATGTCAAATAACCTCATAATAAAACCAGAACATTGACAAATAAATTAAGAACTGCTTACTTTAACTGAAAAAATTGGCATAATAATGTTTTTTAAGCAACTTTGTGAAGGGTTGGGGTTATAATTCTGGGGCTAAAGACACGGAGCCCCATCTATTCACCCTCAATTATCCTTCAGATTAATCCATTTTGTCCTCTTTCCTTTCTGAAACTCCTTCTGAGACGCTGTTGTCTATAAACAAACAAATAGATTAAGAGCTGGTTACTTTAACTGATCACACTGAAACAAATGGCCTGATAATGGTTTGAAGCAACTTTGTGAAGGGTTGGGGTTATGGATTTTTCACTTATTTATCCTTGTTTCCAAACCCAGAATTGCTCTATTACTGTTTAAATCTGCAGCCATCAGCTCCATTTTAAATGTTAAATAACCTATTAAAACCAGAACATTGACTAATAGATTAAAAACTGCTTACTTAACTGAAACACCTAGCCTAATAATGGTTTTGTGAAGATAATTCTGGGGCTAAAGACACAGACTCCCATCTCTTCACCCTCATTTATCTTTCAGATGAATCCATTTAAGTTTATTTCCTTTCTGAAGCTCTTTCTGAGATCCTGTTGTCTATAAACAAACAAATATATTAAGAACTGCTTACGTTAACTGAAAAAAAATGGCCTGATAATGGTTTGAAGCAACTTTGTGAAGGGTTCGGGTTATAATTCTGGGGCTAACGACACAAAAACCCCATCTCTTCACCCTCATTTATCCTCCAGATGAATCCATTTAGCCTTATTTCCTTTGTGAAACTCCTCTTCTTGTTGTCTATAAATTGTCCGGTGCTGATAAACTGGTTTTCCCACATCCAGGAGCTGGAACAGTCTGTCCTGGCTGCTGGCTTTGCCTCTTTTTGCCTCTGTTAGTGGGAGAGGGAGCAGCCTCCGGAGCAGGTTTTTATCAGAATCAGAATCAGAATCAGAATCAGAATTAGGTTTATTGCCAAGTAGGTTTTCACATACAAGGAATTTGCTTTGGTGTTTGGTGCCCAGCATTGCACCAAAACACCGAGGCGGCCTTTTTTTTCGGCGCCAAGGCAAATCTTCAGAACAAAAAGAGTACATTGGGAAAGCGGGTTTTTATCTCTCTGTGTTCTCCTCCTCCCTCAGGTGGTGTCTGTGCTGCGTCCGGAGGAGATGTTCGAGTGTGTGTTCACCTGTGGGGCGGACTGTAAGGGCACCTCTCTCTACCCCTGCCTGCAGATCTTTGTCAACAACTCCGAGTCCAACTCCGTGGCCCTGCTGCACTTTAATGAGCAGCAGCTGGTCCTCAACCCAAAGGTAGGACTAACAAAACCCTCCTGCGTCTGGGGAAGAGGGGGGAATGCTTCAAAACAAATCCAATTAGCAGATATTTAAGGATCCACACGGTACAGAGTGAATAACGGAGACACAGAACTGTTCTGATCTTAACCCTTTAAAGCGTGATCCAAGAATAAAACAAAACAGAAAATTACATTTTTTGGTTTGAATTCCTTATTTGGCCTTTTAACAAAATATGTAAAAAGAAAAAACAGAAATACATTTTTAATATTAATAATTTCTTACTATGCGATAAGTCAAGATTATTTTTTGTGTATTCTTCTGCCCCCTGTTATCAGGTGTATCTGATTGTGTACAATAGGATTTTGAGCAAAGTTTTTACCATTAAATTATACAAAAGGTGTCAGACGCAAAACATTTGGCATTATAGGGTTAATATCTCAGACTAAGGCTCTCATTTATGAGCATTTCCACCAATTTGTCTTGTGGCGTTACTGATCTTTATCCTGATATATTGGAAAAATCCTCAATAATTTTCTGTCTCAGTGATATTCTGTGATCAATGTATGCTCCAGAAGAGCAGCATTTATCTCCTAATTTGATCTTTGTTGGTCCGACAAGTTTTTAAAGCCATATACTCTCATTTCTTCTGCTTTAAATAGTTCATTTCTGCCCACTGAATCGATCCTGTATAGGATGCTGGACACGGTCTCCAAGTAGCTGGAAAAATGCTAATTCTAGATTAGAGGATTTAGGGTCTTTTCTGAATTTCCCTCAGACAGGGGTTTGGATGGTTGGTTCAGACTTATTTTCCTTTTACTCTGAGAAATGTATTTCTTCAGATAGTTCTTCATGAATAAAACTATAATAATATTAATAATAAATACAAGAAATGACTCGATTTGATAGAGAGACTTCTGTCTTTTATACTAAATGCAAAGGTAACATCCAGAAGAAATAAACGACTGAAAGCTGGTACGTATCTAAAAGTTGATTACACTTCATTTCCTCAAAAGAACATAAGAAACCGGCTGGTTGAAACAAATGAAAGCAATCAGGGCTGCTTCTCCCATGTGAGCGTGAGGAGTGTTTTCCTGATTGGTTTTTGAATCACAGCTGTCTGAAGGCCTGAGCGGAGCAGAAATCTTCCCGTCTCAGAGAGCTGAGAGGGGAAAAGAGGCCCACAGCTGGAGGGAAACACTTCTGGGTTTTACACCCTCTCTGCCAGAGCTCAAGGACTCTCTGGGGCTATTTTGGTTTGATACGGGTTAGAAAAGTAAACAGGATTTGAGTCGTTAGTTTTTTTCTGTGGTTCTGAACTAGACTGACTTGTTTCTTGTTTCCTGGTTCTGGTCTGAACTGGACTGATGTGTGCTTTGAAACTTATATAACAGTATAAAAGCAATAATTACACTTCCTGTTGGAGGACATTAACATACAGAAATATATAATATATATACCACAAAGAGTAGGTATCCAGTACAAAACTAACAATAAATTGAGAGATTTTTCTCTGTCATCAATATTCTTTCTCACAATCAGCTCATGAGCTTGTTGAGTTTATTTACATAGCACCTCCAGCTTCAGGAAAGATAAAAGAAAAGAGGCTTTTTTAGCAACTACACCAAATTTGTGGAGTATTTCTGATAAAATCTGTTAGATATCCATACATCAATGGGTTCTTTCTGCCATAACCACCGTAGTTAACCCTCCCTGTGAGGAACATTAAAGGATTTAAGCTTCTTTAGGTTTAAAAAGTTTATTCTTTGACCATTAAGTCAAATATGTCTGGGTAATTATTTGCCTAAAGCTCAAGCCTGTTCATTTCTGCTTCAGATTTTTCTTATACTTTTGGATCTGGTCTTCAAGTAGCGCCTAATGGATAGCTTCTTTTAAATGTTTTAAGATGTAATGGACGGAAAGAAACCAGAAGGACTGATGCATTAGTGAATGCAGTTACATTATCTACACTTTTTTGGCCTTTTAGAGGTCTACAGCCTCCCTGAAGAGCAAAAAAAGAGTTATATTAGAGCTTAAAAAACCACTACCAGACTGAGATGAACAAAGAAGTTTAGCATCCCTCTGCTGGAGCCTGAGCCTGGGCCCTCGCTACGGCAACAGAGTAAATATAGAGGCCAGAGACGGCGCGTCATCCCTGCCGCTCCGTCGCCGTGGCAACGGCGATGTGGAGACACAGGGAGAGAGGCAGACGAGTCACGCTTCGTTCAGGAGTCCTTTAATGTTCCTCACAGGGAGGGGAGGAGACCCAGAAAGGATGGAGGCCTCCAAAAGGAAAACCTGGGTCCCTCCATTCTGAGAAAGAAAACATAATTAACTGGTCGACCAGAAGGGTCCAAATATCTTCGATTCCACAGTCTAACAGAAACATCGGCTCAAAATGCTGCTTTATGTCTATAATATAGTGTTTTAAAATGTCTATTAGCCAGATTCTGGTCTGTTTTTATGGCCTTTAGGACACGTTTTGCAGCTATTCTGTGTGAAATGTGTCTAAAAACAGCATCCTGTGGAGGTTTCCTTCAGTTTGAGGTGGGAAATTTTGATGATTAGTGAGAAAATCAGAAGAAAATATTTCAAAATCTGCAATAATTTACACTCAAACTAACCAAAGTGTTAATAAAAAAAATTTAAAAGACCTTATTCAGGATGAAAAAGCAAAAAATAGTAGTAGAAAGCAGTACATTTATCATCTTTTTTTTTACTCTTTAGGTTCAAATTTGTAGTGAAAAACACGTTGAACACAAACGTAACATAAAAATAATTGTTAGGGATATAATTTTAGGGAAGGCAAGTTTATTTTAGAGCACATCTTGTGTACAAGACAATTCAAAGTGCTTTACAGAGAGTTTAAAGCAGAAAATTGGTTCTGAACTGGTCTGATGTGATCTGTTCATTACAGCCAGACTTTGAACCCGTTTATCACCTTATTGAACATCAAGTCTCCGATCTGTCTATCGACCTGCACATGGACCATCTGATCCAAGTTATTGATCCATTATTGATCCAAGTCCGGTCTCAGCTCCTGTCTCCTATCTCAGTCCGGCTCCTATCATAACTCCTCCCAGACCTCTGCACCCTCTACTCCTCTTTCTGGCCTTCCCTCTATCTCCTCCTGTCTCCACTGACTCTGACTGGGGGTTTTCCTCCAGAGAACTGTAAAATTGTGTCTACTTTGTAAGTCGCTTTGGTTTACATAGTCTAAATGCAGAAACGGAAACATAATAGCCCCCGAAACAGCTTCAAAAGCCCCCCAAAAAGATCTTTAAAGCCCCAAAAAACAGCTTTAAAGCTACAAAAATAGCTTTAAAACCACAAAAAACAGCTTTAAAGCCACAAAAATGGCTTTAAAGCCCCCCAAAAACAGCTGTAAAGCCACAGAAAATAGTTTTAGAGCCACAAAAAACTGTTTTAAAGCCACAGAAACAGCTTTGAAGCCACAAAAACTGCTTTAAAGCCCCAAGAAACAGTTTTAAAGCCCCAACAAACAGTTTTAAAGCCACAAAAATAGCTTAAAAGTCCCCAAAAATATCTTTAAAGCCCCAAAAAACAGCTTTAAAAACCACGAAAAACAGCTTTGAACAGCTAGACCCTCTACTCCTCCTGTCTCCTCTGACTCTGACTGTGGGTTTTCCTCTAGAAAACGTATTATCAAATTGATGATAACCGTAAAATGGTGTCTACTTCGTAAGTGGTTTTGGATAAAAGCGTCTAAAAGCAGAAACAGAAACATTTACCCTGAACCCTTGGTGGCCTGGGGACCTTTCACCCCGGACTGACTCGGGAGGACTGAGTTTGTGGCTGTAAAACCGCTGAGAGTCAGAATTAGAGACAGACTGGGAGTTAATTGGAGTTGTGTCTGTGGGGGGGATCAATTAATGGAGCCGCCTGTGGACCGAAGACCTTAAGATGAGCTTCAGATCAACACCAGCTCAGGTCTGTTTATGTGCAGAAAACATGAAACGGCTCCTTAAAAAGTTCTGGAATAGCCTTTATTTCTTAGTTTGTTTCGTACTGATTGTTCTTTAGTCTGGTGCTCGGAGATAAATGAGGTTTCAGTTTCTGACTCAGAGGCAGATATTCTCCTCTTTTACTGGATTCAGAACTTCTCTCATTCGTTAGAACAGGTTTAGAAGTTTTTGCGTTTGTTTAATAAGCATTTATTAACACATACACACTCCCTCACACACACACACACACACACACACACACACACACA